CCGCCCCTCCCGGAAGCGCTCGTCGGGGTCGGGCGGCCATGGCTGACGAGGAGGAGGACGCGCCGGTGAGTGGAGGCGAAGGGGGTCGGTGAACGCTGGACGGGACGCTCCGGTCTGCATCCCAACCGCAGCCGGGCAGCCGTCGTGTGCGGCGGAGGGGCGGCGGGCGGCCCAGGCCTCGCCCCGGGCCGGGGGGGTCGCGGGAAAGGGAGGGAAGGGGTCCGGTCCCCCCGCCGCCCCGGGCGCTGACGGCGGCCTCTCCTCCGCTGTGCCCGTTCTAGTTTGAAGAAGACGCGGAAGAATCCGGCGGGGGCCTGGACGGCGGGCAAGGCAAGAGGAAGAGGCTGTTCTCCAAAGAGCGTGAGTCGAGCCGGGCCAGAAGGCCGTGCCCAGCGCTGGCGGGTTTTAAGGACGGTGACCTTCCCCCAAACATAGCTGAAATTCTTGAGGAGGCAGCTACGGAGTTCCAAAACTCAGTTTTCCTTAGCAAACAACGGCTTTCATTCTGTACCCCAGCTGGAAGTGCAGAAAGCTGTCGTGTAGACCTCCCAAAAAATACTGTTAATGCATCCTCTGAACCTAACTGTGCCAAAAGTCACACAGTCAGTGTTCAGCGCTTGGTAGGCTGAATGCATATTTAAAGAGTCTGTCATCAGACATGCTCTTCTGCACATCCAGCACCGGGCTTTTGTTGGAGTCTGTCTACCTGCTTATTTCCTGTATGTTTGCTCAAGGATTGTCCTGCCCAACAGACAAGAGTGCCATCCCGGTGCATCACTGTGGAGGCTGGTAGCTAACTAGATGCACGCTGCTGACAGTCCTGAATGGATGAAAGCGGCCTCACACTGAGTGTTTCTTTCTGCAGTAAGATGCATGATGTATGGATTCGGGGATGACCAGAACCCTTACACAGAATCGGTGGACATTCTCGAGGACCTGGTAATAGAGTTTATCACAGAAATGGTAAGTCAGCTCTAGAGAGCATGGTCAAAAACATTGCTAAGACTTCAGTCTTCTGAAGGTTAATACTTCTGACTCAAATACTGCATTATCTCAGGCCCAAAACTTTGACGCTAGTAGGAAAATGCTAAACTTAGACTTTGCTTTTCTGAGATTAAGGCAAAATTCATGCATCTTGCTCCATGTGGATTTAGAACAGTGTCTGAAATCCTTAAGTAGCAGTTAGATTAGTATTGGTGGTGGGAAAATACACGGCTGACTTTGGGGTTCGCTGTGGCATCACTATATGTGCCGCTGACAAAAGACAAGGCTCAGCTTTGAAAGTCTACTGACTTTTTGTGTACTCCCAGTATCTTTATGTGGATAGGAACGTAGCTCTGTGCTACAAAAGAAATGCAAGCTTCTGGGGCCTGAAGCCATCACTCTTCCAGACATTTAGATACTGTTTGAAAGTTTGTTTTGTTTTTTGAAAGAAGTTATTCCTACTGTTTGTGGATCCCCTTTCTTTTGAAAGGTTGGCCTTGCCTTCCCTCATCAAAATGCCCTAAACTGTCCTGTGATACAGGTACTTCACACTGCTTTCAAGTTCTGCCTGATGCTGTTCATCTTCAAGCTCTCTGCAGGTTGGGTGTCCTATGTGTAATCTGGCTTTAGTTTTGATGCCATTACTGTTATGTGTATATAGTGGTATGTGCTGGGTTTAAGTGACAGGCAGCTGGGGACAGCAGAGCAACAGTAAGTCCATGGTTTACTTGTGACTAGGATGATGGTGCCCAGATCCTGCAATTGCTTACTTTTTGATTATAAAATGACAGGAAATAAAGTGGAATTGAGAGCTTAAAAAACATTAAGGGGCAAAGGAACCCTGCTGACTTTCTTCTTGTTCTCTAACAGACACACAAGGCCATGTCAATTGGGCGGCAGGGTCGTGTACAGGTTGAGGACATTGTCTTTCTAATACGCAAGGACCCCCGGAAGTTTGCCAGAGTTAAAGACCTCCTAACTATGAATGAAGAACTGAAACGAGCCAGAAAGGCCTTTGATGAAGCAAACTATGGATCTTGATTTTATGCGCAAGCTGCACTGGGACATTACTTGGGCACCTGCTGCCCAAAAGGAAGGAACATGATGTGTGGTGTTTGGAGGGGTTATTGAGGATGGAGGTCACTGCTGGGATGTATGCCCTCACTCCCAGCCTTTTCTGAGAAGTATTCAAGCAGCTGAATGTTATCTGATTGTATGTGGTATACTTAGGTATTTTTATACTGTTTTATGAAATGAGAAAAGAGCTCTAAGGGTTCTTGTAATGGCAGGAAGTCTGAAATAGGACTGTGTTGAATCAGATATCTAGAGGGCTAACAATGGGTGATTCTCTACAACTATTTCAGTTATCACTGGGTATTCCTGTGACAGGAAACCTAGAAAATGGATCTTTGTTAACTGGACAAAGTCTTCAAGCCCAAACTACTACAGAAGTTCTGCTCTTTGCTCTGTATATGTTTGAATAAAACATTTTAAGTTTGTGCCCGCTCCTTACAACTAAAATTACATTGATCAGTTCACACAAGGTGCGTAATACAGGGTTTTTAGCACTTAATTGGCTAGGAAGGTTATTTTTAATTCTGTCCTAGTGGGCACAGCTCTTTTGTTTTCTCAATAGTAAGCCTAGGAAATTGAAGTTAACCTATTCCTGATTTACTTGCACTTACAGCCTTTCCTTACCCCTGTTAGGCTGGTGCTCTACAATAAAGCATATTCCTGTTCTTCATTGAGACAATTTTTTCTTTGTATTTGCTGGTGATCCTGATCTTGGGACTTAGTTACAAGCAAGAGCCTGGCAGAAAGCACTAACCCCAGTGCTTGTTCTAATGTTATTTCATTAACACATGTTGGAGTAGCTGTGCTTTACATTGCCAAGCTGGCAGAAATCGCACTTACTTACATTAAAAAGATTTCAGGACAGTGAGAAACATGTTCACCAGTCAGGAGTTTACTATTGCAGGCCACAGCTGTGCTTTCCTCTGTTTCTGGAGCAGCTCAGACGCAGTAGGTTCAGTTAACTCCTTATTTCAGGACAAGGATAACAACTGCTGAACAGTGATAATACTGCAAATCAAGGCTGTCCCCTATACAAGCAGCACAGAAGGAAGGGTGTAAGACTGCTTCTTTGGAAAAGTGGCAGCAGGTCTTTTGTCCTAAGCAGCAGTAAGTGATCAGCTGCAGCCTTCCACTGTGGATGGTAACTATTTGCACTGTGGATTTGACAGCAGCACATAACATGGTTGAGCAATAGAGAAAGGACACTGAGTAAGGATAACTCAAAAGTCACTGCTCCTGGAAAAGGCTAGGTAAAAGGATGAAGACTAGTCAACTGTTTGGAACACCCTTCCATTAAAAAAAAAAAAGCTGTTTTACAAAAACATAATAAAATAGTTACACTCTGAATTCTACGAAAGTAGCAAGTTATCAAGACACCATTAGGGTTCTAGGGGTTTTACTTAAAAAAAAAAAAAAATTAATTACTTGACCCCTTTCCTTCTTGCAAGTCCAGGGTCAGACACCCATTGCTGCAAAAATAGAATCAATATCCATGTTCTCAGTAACTTCTTTCCACACAGGGCCAGGGCCTCCTTCCAGCAGCAGCTGCTTAGGGGTCCCCGGTGCACTTAGTTTGACACAGCCTGTATCAGCACTGGAATGTCCTTCCTGACTCGGAGGCCCATCCTGGTAAGCTGGGAGGATGAGTGATGCGCTATTCTCGCAGACCCCCAAAATCTCAGGTTTTTGCCGAACAGTCTTCACAGTTCTCTTCAAGCGCGTGGATGATTTGATCCTCCTTCGACAGAGCCATGCCCTGAGGTACTGCTTTGGCCAGCGTGCGTTTTGTGACCCATATAGGAGGTATTTACAGACAGATGTTTTGACACAGCACAGTTTTTTCTTCAAGCTTAAGGGGAGGAAGTTGCACATAACATAACTTTATCAGCTGCTAAAGTGTTACTTCATTTGAGGTTTGGAGATACTTGGTTATTAGCCTTCTCTACCGTTTTCTTTGTCATGCCAAGGAGATACAACACCACCTTGTACAATATAGTAGCCAGGGCATTCCAAAGACAGACAACACCCCTTGCATCATATAATCATTACCATTAAACATGCACATGATTTAAGTTGCATTTTCATCCTCCCTCTTAAGTATTTGGGCATTTGTTAGCCTTTTAAATCCTTTCACAAATGACTGAAGCTAAATAGAATGCTCATGTCAGAGCATCCAGTAACCTGAAGCAGCGATCCCATTTGAGTTTGAAAAGAATAGGTTAGACCACTGCATTTCTCTACACTGTAGCAAAATAGATAATATTAAAATGTAAAGTGTCAGATCCAGAAACCCCACACCCATGCAAAATTACCTGCATCCTTGAGCCTCCACATGGTGCAGCCGATTGCTTTTCAACAACTTGTTACGCAGAAAATAAGCTTCTGATTTGAATTTGTTGCCTTTGCACCACAGAATAGCTTTTCTGAGTGCCTCTGACAGTTCCCCAAATGATGTAGCTGTTTGAACCATCTGTACAAGAGATCCAGTATGCTGCGATTTTGCTATACGAGAGGAAAGCGATGCTGACTTTGCTTTAAAAGATGTTGACACAATGCTTATACCCTGAAATAAAAAAATTACAGAAACAGTCTTTCAAAAACATGACATGCCTGATCCTCTCTGCTGAAGAGGAGCAGAGCCCTGAAGTTTTTGTGATAACATTCCTTATTTCCTAAGGAGAAAGTGAAAGAGCAGTCTTGTTTTGTGGAATACAAAAAGAAGAGGCAGGCAATTAGAATTTGTATTCCTGTCTACTACTGACTTGCTCGCTGATCATTTCACTTGACGTACCAACAAAAGCTCAAATTCCTAAGCAGAAATTATAAGCAATTTTCAGTGCAACACTTTCACGCTAACTTAGGTTATTAGACAAGCAAAAATAAGGTAGGGAAAGGGGACATTTTCAATCAGGGATACCATGTTTTGAGTGTTAAGGTCTTTAAAGTAAAAAAAAAAAAAATTAAATAAATAAAAGGAGCATGAAACAGTACCATACAAACCTCTTGTGTTGGAGGTCTGGATGGTCTAAGTAAGCTCTTCACATCAAACCCCAGGTGCTTCCCTACAAAGTGAGAGGAGAGTTCCCATTACGAAGTAAAGACGGTTTTAAGTCTTTGCACAGAGACACCACAATGCTTTGCCCTGCTGAGTTCTCAGATCATCTGCCATCTCAGCAGGCTCACACTTGTACTCAACATTTCCAGGCAAACTCAAGGGGACTACACTCATTTCACATGGCAGCTGGCAAGGTATGAAGAGGATGCAGAGATTCGCAGATGGCTGCAAAGGAGAACTTAATGGGTAAAAGCTGCACACAAACACCCGGATGCCTGCAGTCACTCGCCATAGCCCTGACTGCAGGGGAAGACTTGGGCACAGCCCAGAACCAGCAAGCACAGTATGGACTGCAGACAGTGCTCTTAGCTTTCCTCACTGTCCTTGGTCCCCATCTATGCAGAAGCAGGAAAATACAAAGTAACTGTTCACAGGATCTGTATACTGCATTCATTACCTGCTTCTCTCCATGCTGTATCACGTTTAAAAAAAAAAAAACAACAAAAAAATACCCAAACCTCACAATACTGACATTATCCACAGCTATATAAAGGCAAGGGTATGTGCAGCATTCTCTTCTTCCAAGGACAGGAAAGGGGAGTTTGTATAGAACCACACTCTGTTGGACAGAAGTTGTGGTCAGTCTCTGAGATGTCAGAAACCAGTAGCACTGTAGCACAAGGCTTTACCTTTGCTGGCTCTGGTCACCAGAACTGGCTCTCCAATGTCCACAGGGCATGGGACACTACAGTTGTTCACAGCACTCGTGCAGGTCACAGAATTTCTTGTTTTCCCAACCTCTGACACTGCTTCTGGCATTGTTGGGAAGAGCTTCTTCAGCCAGCTGGTAGGTTTTTTTGTTGTAAGCATTCTAGCCTTTTGCTTCTTCACCTCATAAGAAATGTTAACTCCAAGGAAGTTACTGATATCAGAAGGGAAGGTAAACCCCTTGATATAAGGCATCTGTTGGGTCTCAGATACCAGATGAAGTGATGTCAACAACATGCCATACAAAGACATGAGGCTCTGCAATACACATCTGTACTGAATCCTAAAGAAAGAAGACAGAAAAGTCAGGAGTCTCCTCCTGCAAAACCTTGTGCTCACTGAAGAACTACCTTCAGCTCAAGCAGAAAAGCTGATAGAAGAGATTCCAAGCTGCCCTTTCCCTATTCCCCCTCAATAGAAGCTTATCTTTTTACACTCCATCACCAGGCTTTCCTTAATATTAGTCTGAGCTTTAATTAACTGTTCAAGATCAGATTGTAGGAGGGAGCTTCCCTAGAGCTTTGCCAAGTGCCACACCTGGGACTCATCAGGTTCTCAGGTCACATCCAAATCATTTGACATAAGCTCTTCCCCTAAAAGCAATCTGTACCAACTCAGGACAACAGTGCTAGCACGGATGCCATACAATCGCCTGCTCTACATTTACTGGGGAGACAGATTTCTTGTGCCAAAGAATGTTCTACTGAGTTGTTCTAAACAATGCTGTTACTCCTTCAGCTACAGACAGCAGTTACTTTCTCATATTGAGAGAGACCAGAACACTGATTTCCCTGGAAAGCTCAGCAGTTACCATAGAACAACTTTATCCCAGCCGTTCCTTTTCAGCATGAGGCGGGACTTACTGCTCACTGCAAAGAGCGCCAGATGTTAGTGTTTGCAGCAGGCTGGCATTAACACCATGATTTTATTAGTGCTACATAAAGTTTGCTATGAACCAAGAACAAAGCCTTCCATAACAGCACGTAAGAAGTCTCTCTTCACTTGGATAACTCTTCAGGTGCTAGAATCAAGTCCAAAAGGATGCAAGGACACCCCCCACCCCCCTCCCAACTGAATAAAGCTCACTCAGCAGCAAGGCCTAATTATAAGCCCTTCTCCCTGACAGGCATGTCAAACAGACAGACAACAAACAAGACAGACTTTTGAATACACAAACCATAGCCGGCTCAACAACCCTGAAGCCACAGTGTTCAAAAGTATGAATTCTTCCGAGCAGAGATGTTTAACGGACAAGCTGAAGATTACACCAGTTAAGGATAAAAAATAAACAGCATGTAATGAGACCTGCTGAACACACCAACCAGAGGCAATTCACAAGGCAATATTATCCTGGATAATTTGTGAGATGAGTATCCAAACTTTGGGTTGCTCAAGGCTGGAACAGCAGCCAGCCAACAGCCTGAGGTCCCTACATAATAACTTGAAAATAAGATGTTTGGCTATCAAAGAAACTTCAGGTTGCACGTATGAATTACACAGTTGAATCCATCAGCAATACAGGGCCTACAGCAGACCTAGTTTTGGTCTCATGAGGTGCTGCTGGTGAACTGTAAGAATGTTTTCATGGTGAAAAAAGGATACAGAAAAGCTTTACAACAACAGTCCAGTAGACGCAGTATGAGCTTGCAACCTCCCAATACCTTCAGAGCCACTGTTTCCAGCATAGGCTGGCTGGGAACTAAGCACTCTGCGCGGGCTTGGGATGTACTTTTCCTGTGTCGATACAAGGATGAGGAGATGGTTATGATCTAGCATTCCCCCTCGCTTTAGCTCTGCGGACTCAGTTAACGGATAGTATAACATATGGGATCATGATACATACTTGGGAATCAGTTCTGCCAGAGTTTCAATGCAGCCCAGCAAGTTCATTTTCCATAGGCGCTTCAAGCATTGTTCTACCTAGAAAAAAAGAAAACTCTTTTGATTGGTATTTTGAGAGATGGGAATGCTTTGGTCTAAGAACTGTCACTATATTAAGTGACACCTTCCGCTATTCAATTTAACAGCATAAATTGTAGGTTTGCATGATGGAACGTTCTAGTATGCTCCTATATCTGCACTATGATGAAAAAGATCCCTTTATCACACTATTGTGTATATGGAATTAAGTGAAGGGCTGGAGTAAGCCATTGTTAATTGGTGCTGCATGGTTTCCTCTGCTGTATATGTTTCCCCTGCCTTTGGTACTGGCCTTCAAGAATGAGAATGTATAAACAAATTGAGAAGGTAAGAACAATTCCTATTCTATTTCAAAACAGTTATTTGAAGATACTGACAATCTCTTTACCAGAAAACGGGTAAGGAGTTCACTTTTCATCTTAAGACAGAAAGTGCCTAATAGCGTAGCCTAGGATTATTCTTCCCCCTTCCCATTATTACAATTAATTGATAATGAAAACCCCGTATTACTCGTACCTACTATTCAAAGGTATGGAACTGTACCTACTGCAGGTCTCAGCGTGCGTATGAGAGACCGAGTATTGGTTCCCTGGGGCTGGAAAGCACAAATCGCCCTGGCTGCACAGTGCCATGAAACCCACTGAACTGAACTGTGAGGAGGCTTAAAGCCGGCGAAAAGGCACCTGCTCCAAACCGCTTTTCGCGCGATGCTCCAGGCATCGAGCGCTGCTCCGAAGGCCTTTCGGGGACTGCTGACTGGGGGCCGGGGTGCAGCGACCAGCTGCCGGCTACCTGCCGGCCAGCCGGGGCTGCTCCTCACCTGCTGCAGGGCCAGGTAGGACCGGTGCCGGAGCAGCCTGTGGTGGTAGACGTACAGCACGGCCCGCAGGACGCGTCCCTCGGCGGCCAGGCCCGTCCCCGACAGCCGCTTGCCGGCGATGTCGCACCGCCGCCGCAGCGCCGGCAGCCACCTCACTGCGGGCGGGAGACGGGCACCGCCTCAGTGCCCGCCTCAGGCGCCCCCCAACGGTCCCGCCTCCCGCGGCCGGCGAGCACCCACCGACCGGCCGACCCCCCGACC